CCCCTAGCAAATGGTTGTCAATTTCAGTGAAAGCACATCTCATGTTCTATAATGCTGGGCAGGCGTCGAGATGTTCTCCAGTCATACTATCCAAAGAGCACAGAGGATAGGTCGGGGCTGTCAGTTATATTGATGCGATGGAAATGCTTCTGCAAGAATTCATGCCCTGTAAGCATTCTAAAGTATGCATCGGATTGCTCTCTTGGGAGGTCTTTTGGGATCCTGCCACTTTCTCCCAGAAACCCACTCCATCGATCCACAATATATAAAATTATATTATTATAATTTGGTATCAACAAAGCCTACTATAAGAGAAAAAATATATTACTCTTTTTTAAAATGACAAATCTTTGGGTTTCTGTTGATATATCTAGGGTTGTGTTGATGATTGCATACGCTAACATTAGTTAGCATACATAATATCTAAAATAAATATAAAGAATGCCAAGAGATTGAAAAAAGTACTATTAATCCAATTTTCTCTAATGCCCAAATGTGATCAAAATTTTTAAATGACCCACCCATATGTAAAACTATCAAAGTGAATAAGCAATATTAAAATTTATTTATTTATCAGTTATGACATTCAAATTTTAGAATAATAATGTAATAAAATTATTTAACATAATATATTTATCTAACATAAAGATTTAATAATATAGGGACCTTGTTTTAACTTAATAATCAATCAGTTAACAATTAAATAATTTACCTATTCCAGTTTCATTATTTTTCCATGTTAAAAAAATTACTATAGACTAAACAGCAGAAACAAAAATAATCAAGAAACATATCAGCAACTGTTAAAAATGTTATAACTATCCATTAAAACCAAAGTATAATTAACTTAAAAATTTATGTGTGACAATAACCAGCTGATATAATAAATGTTGAAAGAATCAGCATTAAATAATTAAAGAAACAAAGAAAATTGAAGAAGAAATAAGACAGTAAAACTAAATACATTGATATTAGTAATAAGAATTAGTTGAAAAAAAAAATGAAGAAAAATAACATGCATGGTTAAAAGTATTAATAAAATTAATAAATAAAAAAAAAAAAAACAAAGAAAACACAACAAAAACAATGAGTTAGTATAGAGTAAAAAGTACATTCATAAATAAAATCAATAAAAGAGCACAACATGCTGTAGAATAATAGGACACTAAATTTTTAAAGATGACTCTGAATATATCATATCTAAAGATTATTATTGATAGGAAAACCTTCTAAATGAAACTGTTATCGAATATATTGATAAACAATGTTCAGCATAAAAAATAAGTTATATCATATCAATAAAAAAGCAGTAAGTTATGAATTTAAAAATGTATACTAAATGAAAGTTGTGATAATAAGTAAGTGGTCAGCCATATATAATTCCTCACAAGCTTAATTAAGCTCACGAAACCATACCACTACTCCATGGTGTTGATCGAGGCACAAACCACACACCATTTATAAGAACCAGTTACCATAAACTATTTAAAACTTGAATAAGATTAGGCGATATCAATCTATCTTCAATACTATATCAAAAATATATTACAACAAAGCTTTACAAATTTAAAAAAATTTACTAGAAATTTTATAACAAGATAAAAGAAAGGCACAAGAAAAGATAACTGAACGTAAGTAACATAATGATAAATGATAACTAGTGAATTAATAAAATACTTGATTACTATTTTAGTACAATGGACTGCACATAAGTAATTTCTTTTTCTACTTGATAATAAAAAATAATAGATTTGATATTTGATACAATAGTCTCAATATTGATAACAATTAATACTCGAGATAAAAAAATGTAATATATAAATATGATTAAATTTAGAAAAGCCAATAATTTTTAATAAATAGATATTAATAGAAATTAATATGCAGAGAACTTTAAGTGATTAGAATCTCAAAATATTTAAGGGAACAAACTGTAAGCATGTTATATCATGTCAAAATTATCCATTTCATGCTTACTGTACAGAAACCTAAAAGTATTATTTAATTTCAACTATTATTTGCATTATGATGGCTTGTCAAGTTAAGAGAATATTAACACCTTAAGATTTTTTAAAAATAAAATACTACAATGAATATTTCCCTGAAAGAAAGTGAAACCAATAGGAGAAGACTGCTGATTTAAATGCTATGAACTAGGAATACAAAGGTATTCATAAAAAGGACAGGACATAAAATGACTTGTAAAACTAAATTAAAATTTATTATGGATGTTTTTATAATGAGTACAAAGTGTCCGTAATAGCTGTGATAACTTTACACTTATGGAGGCACGCTCAATGTAGTAAGTTTTCAATAACAATTTGGCTCAACAGAGTCATCAAGACGTGAAACAAACTACATTATCATTTTTGTCATTCTAACTCTATTCTTTGAAAATGTTAACAAGAAATGAAACTCAGCAAAATTTTATAAGTTACTATCTAAGATCCTATTTTGTACTTTAGAGGGTCAATAACCTTTAAAAATGTGTTATCACTGTTTGTATTTAATTTTTTTTTAGCAACAATTTTTCCTACAATTTGTTTCCCATATTTTCACTGAAACAATGTACAGTAAATCTTTTGTTTTGTATTTTTATAAGTGATTGAAAATGGCCTCGGATCAGGCCCCCACTAATTAGATAAAATAAGAAGTAATTATATAAATCTCACCATATAATCAAAATCACAAACCAATTACATTTGTCAACCACAAAATAAGTTCTTTTTAAGCAACACAAAACAATATTCACATCTATAACTTAAACATTTTATCATCAAGTTCAAATTACATTATTTCTAATTATCTATTTTTTTTTTTTTTTTTTTTTTTTTTTGTAAATTTATGAGAACAATTTTACTGACATTTTATTTACATATTATTAAATACAATTTTTTTTTCAATATTTAACTAATTAAAAAATACTTAGGTCCATAAGATAACTCGTGTTTGAAATATAGTATTAAATACAATGTTTCATTGTATGTATTATGAATTCCTAGAGGCAACCAATAAATAAAGCATAAATTAAATGCTTTATACCGATTCTTTATTTATACAAACAGAAATATAATATATACCAGGTCCATTAAAGAAACAGATAACGGTAGAGTGAACAGAAAGAAGTACCATTCTCCACAAGAAATTAGGGAAAGATCGTCAGATTATACATGAAGATGTCTCAGCAATGTTGGAGGAGTAAGAACACAACTATCAAAATACTATGAATAAATTGCATAAAAGTTATAGTAATAGCAAGGAGAAAACGGAGAAGATGATAAAATATAAGAAATATTTAAATATAAAAGATAAGAAGGGGAAGACATTTTACTATATCTCTTTAAATTGTATTAGAAGAAACAAAAGATCCTGAATGATCAGGAATATGCCTCATTATTCCATATAATTAAGAAAAGTAATATCAGACAATGTCATGAATATAAATCTAGTTTTTGAAATCCGGGCAACTTATATTCCAAAATCTTTGAAAAAAAAAAAGGAGTACCCAAGATATCATTTCAATTTGGGAGGGACATAAAAGAAAAACCCTTCAACTGCAGGACTGGTTTATTATTTTGAAACAAAGAATCATTAAAAAAGTGTTTTGAAGTAAAAGTACATTATTTCAATTGTTGAAAACTTTGCTTAAAGATTTCAAAATATTTAATTTTTCACGATAATAGAGCAAATGCAATTGTAAATGTATAGGCATATTAAATCTCTAATCAGCATCAATTTTGAAACAATATTTGGATTTGAATGGTAATATTGAATAAAATCTAAAAATATGGGCCTAGTAGTCTAAAAAAAGTAATAATTTTTAAAAAAGCCACAACAGTACATAGATAACACAGGTTTATTTAAATTTGAGTTTTGTATTTTCTGTATCTTTAAATCTGGAACCTAAAATTTTGAGCATTTAATTTTTTTTTTGGCCCATTAAAAATATTTATTATTAAAAACAAAATAAAATAAGCAAAAAGCTGACTTATCATATACCACCATAAAATTTTGTGGATATTAATAGTTATTCTAAAGATTTTTAATTATAAACAGAACTAAATAATTTGAGCAGTTTTAAAAACTACAAAACCATGTTTTTTTAGTTAGAAAAATAGAAAATTTTAAACATTAAACGAATTTCCTTGTTTAAATATTAATAATTGGGTTTTATAAATATTTTGAATTTTTTTAAATCTAAACCTAGTATATGATAAATAAAACCCAAGTTTGTTAGAACCAATTAAGCAAGAATGGCAACAAAAATTTCTAAATCCGGAACAAATTAGAGTTGAATAAGAGCACTGATGTTTTGAATAAAAAAATAAAATAAATAAATAAAACTTTAGAAAAAGAAAAAAAAAATGACTGATTATTATTCATAAAATGATTAAGTAGAATAAGTAAACATTCAAGAAAGGATAAATTTATTATAAGACAACAAATAAATGAAACAACCAAAACTATGATTCATTTGAATAAGATTTATTTAAATAACTATAAAAGCATAAGCAAGAATATTACTTTGGAACTATAACGCTAATCGATATTTCCTACTAAACTAAAAGTATCTCGAAAATATTTAATTTTAATAAAAATTATTTATTTAATCTACATTATATGAAAAAAAAAATAAATTTCAGGGAATGAAAATAAATTTAATAATTAAATATATATATATAAAAAACAAAACAAAAAAACACAAACATTTATAAGCATCAGTCATTCTTTCCACTAGTTAGGGAAGTTAAAATCAATGACAATGCAACATCACATTAATTGATTGGAAAAACTTTTATAACTATAAATAAATTTTCATAATAGTACTTTTTAAAATTAAAATTAATAACATCAAATAAGTGCAATATGACTTCTATCAGAGTATTTATTATTAAAAGCTGAATTAAGAAAAAAAAAAATGCTTAAGATATATCCAGTCCATGGCCATCTAGCATGCTGTGCTCTGTCTATCTGCTTTAAGGAACAGCTTTGAGACCCACCGTTTTGAGAACCTCGAAGACAACTTTGAGAAGAAGCTGGTCCGAGAAGAGTCTGTAGGAGAGGGAGCGCCTCCTGTGTAAGGTCGTTGCCGGTTCTGACCAGAATGGAAGGTCGATCTCGATGGTACGTTCCTTGGGAAAGGCTGAGCGGGTTGACTGCTCTGAGTCCGGTTTGTACCAGCACCAACAGCAGCACTAGGCACAACACTACCAGTACGGCATGCACCACTAAATTCAAACAGATAAAAATTAGTACATCTCAAAATAATTTTAATTTCTGAATTGAAAAACAATTTTATATATGTTGATAGTAATAAGAAATACAACAGTATAGAAGGGATTGTATACAGGTTATACAAGGGGGTACGAATAGCAGAGGAGTAACCAACGTTCAATCTGATCATAAATTAATTTTGGCTATAGCTGCCACCATTGACTTAATAATGAAATATTATATTATTGTTTACAATTAAGAAAACCACAACAATGGTCATTAAGTTAAACAGAATGAAACAGAAAATTTAAATTTTTAAAAAAGAAATATTATCTTTCTTTTTTAAATTTTACATTTTCATCAATTTGATAAAATTTCATGATTGTGTTTTTCGAATACTACTATTAAAATACAATTGATTTTTATAATAGGAAATGCAGTAGATATATTAATCAGTGGAATGTTAAAAGCTAAAGATAAGATAAAGGTGTATTTATTTAACAGGTATCAACAGTCAGTAACCTGTTCAGTTGCAGACCAGTGCAATGCACTAGTGCAAAAAGGGTGGTCACAGATAGTTAGTTTATTTTGTTACACTGGCAAGAAAATATTAACATGGTGAAATGTCATTGGTTCTATAATCAAATACATTAAGTTTACTTAGTTACCATCTAAATAAATAAATAAATTTTAATTATGAAAAATAAATTCTCAGACACATTAAACAAGGGGTGCTTGGCAATTAACAGTAGAAATAAATTTTGTCATTAATCAAACAAAAAAGTTACTGATCAGGTCAATAACTTTAAATATTCTAGATTTTATGATTGTGAACAATATTATAATTGACTTTTCAATTTTTATAAACATCATTTGACAGAAATGGTACTGGTAATGGTGGAGGAACTAGCCCGGCAAGTGTGCCTGATTGTCCTTTTTGCCAATCCCTGATGGCTCCCACGAGGTTACCACCCCGTACTTACCAGAGTGAGAAAGTAAAGATTTATTTCCTGGGGCCGTCGAGAAATAAAAATTAACCGACACAGATGGGAATGGAACCAACAACATTCAGGACCAGGTAATCTGGGAACCACGCCTCAACATGCTTAGCCATACTGTCCTCGACAGAAGTGGTAAGTTTTGTTTTTATTTTAATGAAAAGTACATTGTGATGTTGCTACAATTTCAGAATGAAAGAAGGTTATCACCAACCTAAATGTTTCAACTTTAAGGTCTATAATGAATGTTTATATATTGACAAAAAAATGGTTTTAGGCATAAATTAAGAAGTAAGAAAAATCAAGGACAAAAACCAAAAAACTAACAAATTTGGGGATTCAGAATAGGAATTTCTCTGGTGACCAAAAAAGATTTCTAATATGTATAACTAATAAACTAACTAATGTAGCAATCTTTTAATGAAAAAGTTCTAATAAATAGTGTTTAAACTCAAACATAACTTTATAATATAAAAAATATCACATCAATAACAGTTCAAATTCATATTAATAATTTTATTTTATGATCTTAACCAAAAAACCATTAATTACTTTTTGATGGATTAACATAAAAAAATAAAGAAATAAACAAAAGTAATTATTAAATATATATTTAATCAAAATTATATACATTAACTAATATTCCACAGAATAAAGATTTTCATACATGTAAAACATAAATTATTAGACTTTCACAACTAATCTGAAATCTGTGGAACAAGGACTTGTGCAATTGGAACTAAACATGTCTTGATATATATAATCTCGTCAGTAATTGTGGATTATGCCTATATAAATTCTTCACTTCTTTAAAATGTTTTGTTTCAGTTTGATTCCACACCTTTCTTCCAGTCCTAATGGAAGTAAATAAAGTAATTAAAAACAAACAAGTATTTTTGAAATTTGTTCTCTCACATCATTTAATTCATTAAAACATGTTTAATATTCCAATAATTAAAAATCCTTTAAAAAATAATAACAATAAATAAGTTACCAGCGAATAGGAAGAGGGAAATTGAAAATTGGATAATGTCAAAGACATTATCAATACTGTTATATGAATTCCCATTTAATTTGAGAAATAAACTAATAATAAGGTAATTAAATCATATCAATATATAATAGTTAAAAAACAAAATCAATAAGAGAATAAGACAAAACAAGCTGTAGATCAATAATTATTTCTATAACAGTGGTATCATTGATTCTAATAAAAAAATTCTGTTCTCAGACAAAATTCTTAAATATCTCTCATAGTTATTTATTTTTAGAGGTTAAAACAAGAATAAAAAAACGAAAGTAAACCTACAAAAAATATTTCTTCATATTGATAGCCTTAAGACGCTCCTAATAAAATATAAAATGGAACAAAGTGGTACCTTCTTGGTTTTTATAATTTAAACTTATTAAGGAATAATAATCTTAACCCTGACTTTAACCAATTAAAGAACTAATTATTGAAGCTGCTAAATTGTTAAAAAATTATTCATAACACATCAAAATCCACTAAATAGCAATTTATAGTATTAGGCTATTGCATTTTGATAACATTATGAATTCATTATTACAAAAACCGTCAATTAAAAACTGTTTGGTGTACTATCGGACTTTTTAAGGAAGATTTGCTATCATTACAATTTTTGTTAATTCTATAGTATAGCATAGCATTAGTTATCAAAGTTCTCAATTCTGCTTGATCGAAGAATAAACAAAAAAGGTATATGTATTTTAATGTAAACATTAGCATACTAAAAAAGGATTTAAAAATGGATTAAGTTATAAAATGATTATTTTTATTCTCCTTTGTTAAATACCATTAGGGTGAAATCATTGTTAATCAAGGTTTTACCTCAATGAATTCACAGTATATCATTTATTTTAAAATCTTTCACTGAAAATAAATCATCAATAAGTTTTATAGATAGGTAGAAACTACAACTAATTCTAAAGATATAGAATAAATTTAAAGATTCATAAGCATGCAGAGTTATTACTAATGTTAAAAGTAACATAAAATGGAATCCTTAGCTAGTAAAAGTTAGTGTAGGATGCTATTAGTATTTATTAAAAACTAATTGTTAAATATTCCTTATAGTGAAATCTAATAGTATTCAAAAACTTATTACTTTGAGACTCTAATTATTTAAAAGTTGAGTAATAAGTGAGACAGGGAAAATAAAGCATTCTTCAAAATTAATGATAAAATAAATAGTCTAGAAGACAGGACATAATTACTGATCAGTGAAAGAGCAAATAATAATTTACAAAATTATATATATATATATATATATATATATATATATATATATATATATATATATATATATATATATATATATAAACAAGTCACAATACTGCTGAAATCAAAGCCTCATACAAGGATGTGAACAGCACATGGACATGATGAGATGAATAAAAAAAAAAGAAAAAGAAAAAAATGAATGAATGTAAAATATTAAACGTATGAAAATATGACCATGGAATCACAACAATATAGCGGTCAGGTTAAGTTAAAAACAAAATAAGCATCAATATATCATCTAAGGCTCGATGTACAAAACATATCAAACATTGAAACTATATTATTACATTAATTTCATTACAACTAAGTTGATTAGATAGCTAAAATAACAATTCAATGAAGAAAGTAGTAATATTATATAATATAGTTGTCATCGCAATAAAATACTATAGCTGAACAATGACTTGATTGGACGGCGAATGGTGGAGGGAGGTATGTAATAAGCGATTGGTGGTGTCGGCATCGAACCTTCGGGTTCGCTAAGCCTTTTAAAATTATTATAAACAGTGACATATACCTCAGATATCCTCCTAAAGGAAATAAAAAAAAAATTCATTTCAGAAATATCCCCCAAGAGAAAAATTCAAGCAGAAATGGAGCCAATTTTTCTAAACTTTTATCAGAAGACAATAAGAATTAAAGCCATAAAATTTCTGATGAGTCAAATCAAAAGATTTTGGGTAGCAAATTCAATGCAAATATTGTTTGCTATGTTTTGCTAAAATTGGTTCAATTCAAATTCTTTTTGTTGTTTATGCATTATAGACAATTTAATTATCTTTTAAATGGGGATCTGGAATGAAAAATCAGAGGATGTATAACTTGCAAATTATTTGAAACACTTATAAATGGTAAACTCATTTCAATGGAAAGCTTTGCAAAATACTTTTAAAACATGGGTGAAAATCACACAATCTTCACAGATACTAGTCAAATTTTTATGCTTTTTTTTTAGATAATTACTTTTCATGTGATTCTATGAATGTAGTATATACAGGGTGTCCCATAAGTAGAAGGAAATATTTAAAAGGTTGATAATAGGTATCAAGATCTACAAAAAAGTTATATAAACAATTACCCAATTTCCAGCTGAAAAGTAGGAAATTTAAGATATGTTTTTTTTAAGAGAGTCATGTTTTTTGTTGAATAGGAAGTGATAACTAAAAAAAATTTAAAAAACAAAATCCATAATTTATAATTTCAGTACGAAACTGGAAGAGCAAGATGAAACAGGACATATCAGTCAGTTGTAACGGAAAATCCAGAATTGGCTATACCAAATGAAATCGTGGAGGATCTAATCATTATTGTTGTTTTAAGCCCAAAAGTGAACAGCATGGAGATCCTTCATGAATACAGTTCAGTTCATTATGTGTTTTTAAAGGCTAACTATCAAAATCCTTCTTGACTCACATTTAATTTTTAATTATTAAAATATTTAGTGTTGCAAAAAATATGTTACCGATTCCTTCTGTTCAGTCAAATAAACCATTAAGCATAGTTGCTTGTCAGAAGAGAAATAAGAGGAGTAATCCTTTCTCATGTGCTAATTCATCGAGTTAGTGGGTTACTGGAGGAGATGTTTCTTGGTAACCTGAGAGTAGGTTTATAACTCCACAAACACCATTCAAAAATTAACAATGCAAAGGCTCAACTTAATAACTTTTAGGCTGAAAAAAATGCATAGCACAAAGCATAAATATATTAATAAGATATGTATTTTCAGTACTCATCATCCATAAAATCATTCCTCTTAATTCCACATAATCTTATTTTTTTCATAGATACTTACATACATACGTAATTAAATATACATACATTAACAATGTATTTCTTTATAAAGGTACATGTACACATACATTTTCACTATATTAAAATTAGCTAACTAGATGGGAAACAAATTTAAAATATTTTTCTGAAAAAGGCGTAATTGCATGAATTTGTAAAAGAGCCTTAGATGATGTGTTTGCGGAACTAGATCCGTTTGTAGCTAGCTAAGGATACCACAAAGTGGCGTACCTCGGCCTCAGAGGGTCTATCATGGATGTGGGGAGACCGTCTGGGGTCCTCTGTGTTGATGTAGAGATGGAAGCAGACTTGACGTGGCCTTTGGAACTGCCGCAACGACCAAGTGTGTCAGCACCTCCAAGGCTATAGGTTGGACAGCAACAACAATAGTTACTAAGCCAAAATGGGCCAAGCATAGCGTAGGCACGGAACATGAAATTAATGCAATGAAAAAGGAGGAAGAAATAATAATTAAATAAAAATAAAGTGTGAAATCAATCAAGAATCAATCCAAAATACAAGAGGCGTGATAGTACAAACAAAAACAAAAATAACAAGCATGATAGGAAATAAAAATATAGGTGCAGATGATCAGCCTTGAAAAAAAATTATATTTTATAAAACTAAAGAGAAGCTCAATTAAATGAAAATTTGCAGCCTTAATTAAAAAAATAAAATAAAAAAACATTATGACTTTCTATGTATTAGAAAATAAAACAAGTATGATTTCTATTACTCATTTCACCATTTCATGTTAAAATTATTATTAAATTTCTACTTTATAAATAATAAAAAAATGAAAGTGTCGTCAAAATAGTGAAGAAGAAGGAAAAGGGATCAACGACAATTAAAGTATCAAAACTTATTACTAAAGTCCAGAAATATTTTAAGACAAGTTGGTACCTTGGAAGTTCACCAGCTGTATTTGTCTTTTCATTTGATGATGCCTTTGCATCATAGCTTATTGTTGATCTTCTAGCAACCGAACCACCAACACCAGTAGTCGGTGCGAGCGATCTGTTACCTCCACTCATTGTGTTGGACTTAGTTACTCCCCTTGGTTTTCCTGGACTGGCTGCATCTAAAATCCAAATTGAATTAAATGAATAATAGATTATGGATAAAATAGAAAGATAATAAAAATGAAACTACAACTAATTGATCTACAATTTCAAAAAATTCAGGTTAGTTACACATTATTAAAAAGAAATTAATATAATTATATAATTAATAAAACATATATAATACACTACGACGAAGAAATCTGCTCTTCAATTTAGCAATGAAATCAGTAATTTGAGCTTATACAGTCGGAAATGTTCACAACCAATATTTATACAAAGCTGATGTAGATAATATACTTAATTGTGGATGAATTAAAGCTACATTCGGGGCTACAGAAGAGTTTGAAGACAATGATGAGCCAAAAGATAAATCAGGAAAATACTTAATCAAATGTGAACAGGATGCCATTAAGATGAAACTATCATGCATTAAAAGCTATTCAGAGAGTGAACAAGATCAAAAGTAAAGGAATAGGTCATAAATAAAAGGCTTGCTAAACATGGGAGCATAATAAGTCCGTCTGATGTGACCTAGAAGCCTAACAAAATGCCTAAATAATATTTTTAGAATCTAGTGAGATGTGCGCACTACACGACTTTTACTTACCACTTTACCTTGAGTAGAAACAGGTATTTTCATAAGTAGGAAAGTAAAAGTAAAAATTACGATAACATATACATTTAATTACCGTACAAAAAAATTGTGACAAATCTAAAAATATTTAAGGAAATATAGATTCAACACGAATGTTAAAAAATAAGCGCTTGTTACAAGACAAATTTAAAAAAATAATTTAAATTTATAAAATGTAAAAGTGGACCTTTTGTAAAAAATTTGAGCTTTATGAAAAACAACTACCACAAAATACATCAACATCAGTTGATATATATATTTTATTATTAGATATATTATTTAGTAGCTAATTATTTTAAATTTGGCACTTAAGCTTGTTAGACTATATCAATGAGAATAACATCGCTACTAGTTCACAAGAGTTCCGCACAGATTACGGCTCACAATCACTTCGGCGACCGATCTCTTGAGTCAGTTACTATTAACTTTCCCGCCATTTAAGTACTTCTATAACCTTAACCATGTTCAGTTATACACGAGGAGCTGACTTGCATTCAAAATTTAGGCTACACATTATGAAACCTTAATCAACCTTGTACATATATTATAGAGCTGTGAAAAAGTAATAGTAATAGATAAAAACCTTTAATTATTACATCTCTGAATGCTATTTCACGATATTATTTTTCTTATTGATGATTTCCATTAGTCATGTCGGAATTATCAGATATTCTTCGTCAGTTGTTTCCCCAATATGTCAATTCCATTCTCAAAAATAAAAACAATTCTGTTTTTTTTACTAATGACAACAATAATCCCTATTTTCAGATTACCAAGCAAAATAACTGTGAATAAATTACACAGCTACTTCATTCAATAAAATAGCGATTAAAACGAAAAAATAAATTATAAGTTAACAGTTAAATAACTGGTGGATCTAAGAGTCTCGGGACATTTTTGGAATAAATATTTATTTATATAACGATTAATAGATATACTTTATTTATTAATATCGTACACTTTTCTCGCGCAAACTTTAAACTGACATAAGTTTCATAAAAAGCGTCCTTGACAACTTAATAGTGGACTCTTATATCTAAGAAATCCAAAAATCGACGAACAATTTTAAATCGGACAGTATATTCATAAAAAGCTCCGACGACTGGAAAATAGTGGGTCAATGTATCTAAGAATTCAAAAAAGTTACATAAACTTGATGCTCAATCTCAAATCAGATAGTATATGCATACAAAGCGCCCCCACTAGACAATGGTGGATCCTCGTATTATTAGAAATCCAAAAAGCTACATAAACTAGATAGATGATTTCACAATTCAAAAAAAGGCTTGCTAAAATAAATTATAAATTCAATTATTCCAACTTTTATTTAAAAACTCGAATAATAAATAAAAAGATAATAAATAACTTCAGATTATTTATTATCCAAATGATAAAAAAATGTTTTAAACACAGCTATAAAAGGCAATACTCAACAATATGTGCCTATTTACAGCCACTACATGTAAGCACATGTCAATAAAAATGTTATTTCTAAAAGCATTTTTTTCTTTAACTGGCCTCGAAGAAACGACAAACATTATTTTATATATTTTTTTCTTTTTCTTTCACAGTAATAATTGTTATAATAAAAATTAACAAATTAGTGAACACACAATTTGTTAATAACAAAGTTCCATGAAGAGAATACATTTTTGTTTTCAAAAATGCATGAGAAGGGATTGTGTGATGGAGCAATAGCTGACGTCATAAAAGACGACAACATTCGGCTGTTTTTGGGATTCCATGAACAAGTGTGTGCTGTAGCGAGTTCAATCAAGATACCTACCTTAAATACATAATATCAGTGATGTCCGACTTTTTGTTTTTGAGCTAGACTGTACACACACAAACCATTTTGTGAAACTTGATTTTGTTGGAGTCGGGAACTCTCTAATGTTCATTTCTGTTGAAAACTCAGATTGAAATTTTTAACGATTGCAATAATTTCCATCATCTATATTCACATATAGATAAGTAGACAGAGAAGATAGATGTTGTCTCCTAAGGGGGTATGTATTATTCAATTATAACTTATTTTGAATAGTAAATGCATTATTTTATAACTCTATTTAAAAAAAAATAGAACCTATTTGTGTAAGTACTTAATTTGCAAATCGTAACTAGGAGCCAGATTTTTTTTTTAAACCTTGTATACCTTTCTTAGATAGTTTATTATGTTTCATAGAATTTAAAAGCCAATAAAGCATATTTTATTTTAAATATTTGGAGGATTTTTTTTTGTTGGCATTATACACCTTGTAGATCTTTTGCCACCTTAACAAGCCTGTTCCATCTCTGCCTGTCTTGGGCTATTTCTTTCCAGATACCTGCACGCAGCTCTATTATATCTTTGTTGATTCTATCTATCCATCTGCTTTTGGCATTCCACATGGTCTTTTGCCTTCTATTGAGGCATTCATTGTAACGTAAAGGCTTCCAGATGGATTGCTACGAGCTACATGCCCAGCTCATCTTAACCTCCGTGCTTTCATATAATGGGATATTGATTGATCAGTTTCTGTAAGCAGTTCTTTATTGGACCTTCTTCATGTGTTAGTACTCTGCTCCCAGATCGCTCCGGCTATTGTGCGGAGGATTCTTCTCTAAAATCTTTCAATATTTTTTTCTAGAGTGCTGGTTAGTATCCATAGTCTCTCAGCCATATATTAGAACTGGCTTACATCATATTTATAGGAGATGAATAAAAGTCACTTTTTAGATCGAATTTTTGGCAAAATCGACAGAATTTTCAAATAAATTTTTTTAAAAATAAAACATTCTGGAAAACCTTTACTTGATAAGTTGACAGCAAAAAAGTTGTAATTCCAAAAGTAATGAAAAACTATCGCCAATTAAAATGCATAACATTTTAAAAATAACAGTTTTTTTCTGTTTCAAGCCCTGGTTTAAGTAGATAAGCAAATACAATCCTCATAAGTTGAATAGGATTATTTCTGTAGTAGAGTATTTATATTTATATATTTTTTTTTTCTACATTGACATTGATTCATCAAAAAATAAATACATAAGACATATGTTACATTACATTATAAGTATTATTTAACATAAAATTAAGCCTCTTAAATTATTATGAAACTTCTAATTTATTTAAAATAATTTTTCTTAAATGTTTGTTGTTTTTTTTTTTCACCTACTTTCAGGATTTTTTTTCTTACATGTATTGTTATATATTTCAGAAGATTTAATTACATATGTATGTAGATATTCAACTCCTTATTTTGCATAAAAACCTGATTCCTAATGATGAGAAAAATCTATAGCAAATTGAAAATTCCATAGAATAAGGAAATTCTACAATGGGAGGTCTTAAAAAATCTAATAATGGCCAAACGTATCACTAGTAATGGCATGGTGTCAAACACAGTTAAAGATAGTTGTGACAATGATAGATCTTTTCCAGGAAACTTTTGATACTGAAAGCACTGAAGAACTGGTGAGGGAAAATAAATAAAAAAATGCTGAAGTAAGAGGAATTCCATTAAAATATGCTAATCTTAATAGTATCTGCTCTTTTATTAGGAGCAATAAAAGGGGAAATCATATTGAATCTTTATAGAAAAAAGAAAATTGAAAATAATAGCATATCTTATGAGCCAATAACATCAAGATATAAGTAACTGTTGAATAAAAACATGCTTACTTGAAGGTTCAAGAACGGGAAGAGCACTGTTGGTGTTCTTCGCGGGCCCTCGCGAATTCAAACGTGCTGTGTTCTCTTTTATTGTAGCAGTATCGACTGTGTTCTGACGTTTAAAGTTGCTACCTTGACTATTACCACCGCCAGCACCTGTATGATTGTGGTTAACTGTTGAATTTGTGGTGTTAGGTACTCCTCCTATGAAGTTGTTAAAGAGACAAACAGAAAATATTATATTGTTATAAAAATGTGAGAGAGCTTATGCGTATTTTCACAAGCAAAATTAAAGCAATGAAAACAAGAAAAAAAACATTAAGAAACTTTTAGACAAATAAAAACAATAATCAAATACAACAGAAAAATATGGACTAAACTTTCTCCTTTCTTTATTATTATATTACTTTTTATCCATATTTTCATAGGCATTAAACATTAGAAAACAAGAAATAACAACTTGAAAAAATGCTCCAGAACAACGACATAATAGTAAATTTTAACAGATTGTTCCATTATTGATTATAAATGACACAAAAAATACTCTGTTATAAAATAAAAAACTGACAAACATAGATATAGATATAAAAAAAAATTAATAAGTTAAATAATTTATAAGTTTAATTAAAGAAAAGTTACTACATTTGAGGAATCTAGAGGCAAAGAGGTATAAGCGCGTTAAAAAAAAAATAGAATAGAAAGATCACTCGGGAATTGTCAATATTTTCATAATAAGCACTACTGATGATATAATAATTGACCCTTATGTCGAAAAAATGTGAAAATTTACAATCAATCGATACACAATGCTGATATCTGAAAATTTAATTTATTTTTATAAACAACTACTTCAATAACCCAATAATAAACCTCAATATTAAAGAAATTCTATAAACTAGTGGTTATTTTTTAAATTACCAAATATATTGGTTGCAAAAGGATAACTGAAACCCATTATCCAAAAAGAATTTTAAAACTTTTTCAAATCTGGTAAAATGAAAAATTTAATTTTTTTTAGTCACTTATGAACATTTGCTTCTAGGAGCCTCAATTAATTTCTATACTAGCTCAAAATAAGTAACTGGTTATAATTGTCTATTAAAACTCTAAATGCATTAAATATTAAATCATGCGGAATAAATATAACTTACTAATCTAAAGGAAGAAGAAAAAATTAATGATTATAAATAAAACGAGATATATTCTACTGTTGGATAGATAATATTATAATAGTGTATTTTAAAGCATTAGCGTGATAAATCATTTACTACATTTTCTTTTTCATTACTAAGGCCTTTCCACAAAGATCTGCTCAAAACAAACATTGTATCTTGAATGTATAAAGAAATTTAAGAATTTAGAAGCTTTTAATAAGAGTTTAAAAGTATTTTATCAAAAACATATAAATGGTTTTGATTCTACATTCTATACAGAAAGATGTAAGTGAGCTATTAAGCAGTAACTGGCAGCCCAACTTAGTAACCAGACTTGGGAGCTAAAACCCTAAAAAGAAAAAAGAAGCAACCATTTCGAGACACTTGGTCAAGAAATTATTGTGGCACAGATCTAAAGATCAATGACTGAAAAAGGGTTCTTTTGGTCTTATGGGGTTCTTTTTGAGGGCTCCAAAATGTAACTGTTGAAAATGGGAAATCAAAAAATTGACCAGATTACACCTTCCTTCTTATATCTGGTGGCAATTAGGTAAAATAAAAATGGAATAACATATTATTATAAACCTTTGAATAAAATATTAATTCATTTTATTGTATAACAAAAAATATCTTCAATATTAGGGCAAAAAAAGGTCATAAATACCTTAATTGTCATTAATTACAGCTATGCATATTATTAAAATAAAAACAATTACAATGGAGTTATTTTTTAAATAGATCCAAATAAATAATTAATGAGTAATCCCCATTGGAAACTCCAATTACAATGATCTATTTGTTTGGAGTAGTTCTATGAGCAAAGGCCATAAATGATACCAATCAGAATATTATTTAAAAACCAGTAATTCAATATGTAATCTAAACTTTCTATTGTGTTAAGCATTCACTTTTTTTAAGTCCATGAAGTGTAAAAAATATTTTAATTATATATTTTAACTATAAGCAATAAAACAAATCATTAAAAGAACTACTGAAAATATAAATATTTGTGTTAATACTTAACTTTCCAATTTAATTAAGATAATGATTAAATATATAATTTTCATTATGATTAAACCATCAACCAGTTTCATTTGATAAATAACAGCCTTAAATCAAATAAAATATAATTATGTATGTTAAAACAAGTTCACAGACCCATTAAATTAAAATTATAAATTCATAAAAATAACAGCAAATCAAAAACAAAATATTTAGCAAGCAGCATACTGTAACATGCTACAAAAATTAATCAAGACAGCACAAAATATAATCACAATAATTCAAAGGAAGGAGAGATTACGGACAATCAGAAAAAAAAGCTGGACAAATCACAACCAAATACAAGCCACAAATAGATATAAATACAAAATTTGTGTTTTGAGGAATATCAGGTTATGAATGGCCCTTTGTTAACATTCCCACCGTGTTGCACGAGAGACAATAATCCACTGTTAACAATATTAATTTTGCCACTTTATTCCTTCGAACAACAATAATAAATAAATTAGTACTCACCCCATTTTTTTTTCGACTATGATTAGAAGAATTAATTTGAAGCCCTTCTATCAAAAAGACATTGTATAAATTAATAACCTTTATTAGTAAATTAAAACTTTAGAATTCTTTAATTCCACCTTAACTTCTCCAAAGCTCCACTCTTTAAAGCTCTCTTTATTTAACGTGAAAATAAATAAAATGTTTACGATAAATATCTGTAGGGCTTTCTTTGATTGTCCAATGTGTGCTCTTGATTTAGCACTGATTACAGTTTTTAAAATAGAAAAGACCATGACAAGGATTAAATCACAAATGGAGTTAAAGCTTGAGAATTTCTTTCCATTTTTGTTTTTTTAAAGTTAATTAAGACGTTTTTTCAGCAAATAATGTGACTTCTTGTAAGATGATAGGATAGTTAATACTGGAGAAATGAAATAAAATTAAAATCTCATTTTCACAAAAATCAGTTTAAAGTCATAGAAGAACTTCTATCAACTGCTCTCTTCTTCTATCAAGGTTCGGTTATGAAAGCCTCTACATTTTAAGTATTATACATGTTTATTTGACCAAATGTAAACAAGCATTTTCCTGTGATACCTCAGAGAGGAATAGAAGAAAGATGGGTTTAGAGGAAGTAAGAGATACAGTAATTTGAGCTAAAGTAATAAAAGTTCATCTTAACAGGTATTTCCATCTGTTGCCCAAGAAGAAACAATAATTGTTTTTTTAAAAAAAGATAGTTTGTTTAGCTCATATTGGTTAAGATTCTGCATTTTATTTTGATGTCCCTCTCACAAATATGTCTAAGGATTCTACTGACATATATTTTTCCAAAGGAAAGAGTTGAGAGAGAACCTTATATCACCATCTAGAGATAAGTGAGTCCGATGATATCTAACTGATAACTTTTGTGTGGTCCATGATCCATAAGTTTCTTAGACCTGATGAGTTCCAAACATTGATTGGAGGCTATCAATTAACATAGCATACAGAAATGGTAACAGATGAACTTGGATACAGCAAAGTGTCAAATTAATGGGCACAACACAATCTATCTCTCAAAATATTATTTTCCATTTATGTTTTGACCACTTGATAAGAATTTGGAAAAAACTTCTCATAGTGATGGATCTTATAAAAAATAGTAATAAATAAATTTTTAAAAAATCTAAAAATTTAGTGGGGAAAACTTATTTCAAAGGGTATATAAATAAAAATAAAAAAATGATCAATATCAATTCTTATTTATATTTGAGCCCTTTTCATTATTTTCTTCCAACAATAAGTAACTAAAAATTAGAATTTATCGAATGTTTGTTTCATAGATAATTATACTATGCACTATACAAAACCATATAATGACATATTAGCAGATGATTAAATGATTGTACTATATATAAAGTATCGGCACTTTGTTAAAGTAACGAATGTGCAACATTCAACAGGTTATGATTCGTTACTTTATTACTTTATAGTCACAATTATTAACTTTTAGTCCTAGCTAGATTCTATACTATAGTATAGCCTTTTCAAAATAAAACATATATACTCTCTTTTTTATTACAAACTATATAAGATCTAAATTATTTTTATAATAGACCTAACATTGTACCAAAGGTATAGCAAGAGTATGGTAAAATATTTTTAAAATGAAGAAACAAACCATTTAAATTCAAAAATCAAATCAAATGAGGGCAAACAAAACATAAGTAAAATGCAAAAAATAAACCAAACAAATTAAAAAGTTAGAAAAAGAAATGCCACACAAATCTAAAATAAATTAAGTAAATTAACATATACTACTGTATGTAGAATACAAATTAAATAGTTAAATTAAAATATCTTCATAATTAGATATTGAGTACTAAACTGAAATTTAATATACCATAAACCAGACATGAATGCAGCATCCAAAAACTAAAAATTGGTTAATTTAATATAGCAATAATTGCTGTGTACTATCTTGTTAAAAGCTGTTCAATGACAGTAATAGAACAATTAGTAACTAACTACTGGCCAAAGCAACATTTATATAATAATATAGACATGAATTTTATTTACTTTGTATAATGTTATATTTAGACAACTAATGTTCACTAAGAAAATGATCAGATGAATAATTGCTAATTAGTAAATTTTTAAGCAAAAAAATACTTATTATAGTTTTTAAATAATAATAAACTTTTGTTGTATAGTGGCCAAAAGCTTGCTTATATTTAAAATAGAAACAAAATTGAGATGCTTCTTTGTTTAACCCTTTTCTTAAGTAATAAATTAGAATAATTCAAGTATTATAACCAAATTGTGTTATAGCATTCTAATACATGCATATCCTTATTTTGGAGAAAACAAAAATGTAAACAGACAAAGTATATGCAATGTTGAATAGAATAGAACTCGCCAAAGAAAGTAATAAGTTTCTCATCTTTAATTTGCAAATAAAAGTAAGCTTGTAAATTAGGTTTCCATACTTGAGCTTAGGAAACTGTAGCAAAAGCAATCATTCAAAACCAGGCCAACAGTTCCTTTGTATAATCTTGACTGAGCAGTAAATAAGATATTCTTCAGGTCAGCAAGCATCAGCAGAAGCAAAAATATTAAGTTAGGGTCTGACAGTTAATACTTTAAAACTAATGATGAATAAATTACTATTTTTAGAAAGAAATTCTTAATATGTTCAGTATTTTTTTCTTTAATTAAAATAACATTCTAAATAACTTAAGACAAAAAATCCACAATGATCAGCAATCATCAATATTTTGAACATAGAAATACACATTTCATATTTAATTCTGGAATTTTCAAACCAATTCAGAATTCCATAGAATAAGTAATTCCTTCACCTGTCAGACAAGTTAAATAAAAACATAATTTCATATAGAAACTGCATTGGCCTTTGATTTCTTAAGAAAATTAAAAATTGTCTAGCATGTCAAATTCATTAAATAAATACCAGATTTTTTGTTTGTCTGTGTAAAGAAAACAGTAATTAAATCAATTTCAGAAACAATACAATAAATTACATAAAAACTTATTTAGACTATATAAGACCTAAAAATTTGTTCAACTTGAAATATATAGTACGTTCTGTCTTCTACATACATTGTATATGTAAATAATTTTAGGTTACATTAAAAATTCTAAAAAAAAAAAAATAAAAACTTTTGTTAAAAGAACTGGAGAGTGAGCAACAGAGAAGAAAAGAGGAATACACAAGAATTTGTAGTCCCGTTTAATTGTCACCCGAAATGCAGTAAGATAAAACCATACTCGAAAATAATAAATAAATTAAATCAGTAAAATAAATATTAAAATTAAAATAAAAATCAAATAAGAATGATTTACTACCGGTAGCGGATTGATTGGCGACTGTGGGGGGTATGAGTGTGTGATAGTGGAGGGCTAGGGCTAATGACTCACGGAGAGTGTCGGCTGCACCAGATGAGGCTCTGCGCGAAGGCTTAGCAGCTGTTGCAGAAACTGAACGATGGACAGACCGTGCTGGCGAGGAGGCGCCGCCTGCCCCGCTTCCAGGTGCCACGCCAGTGTTCCCTCGGAGGGAAAGTGATGATCCTGACCTTGAACCATCACTCTCCGGCTAAAATCAAACATGTTCTCAAAATCTAAATAAAAATTTAAAATAAATAAATGGTAGAATACTTTATTAAAAAACAATGGTTCTACTATTTTTGTTTTTAAAACTTTTCTTTACAAGAAGTGCACCAATGCACTCATTCAGTTTCTACTCCGGCAGCAATTGAATTAATTCTTAACATTAATATTTCTCTTTTCCTCTGCCTTGATTCTCGCCTTCTATCAAGAATCTTTAATTTAAACAACCCACTATAAACCTAATTTTTATCAACTTCATGATTTTAGAATAAAATAAAAGATATTAACGGTAGGATATCTTATTCTAAAACATCAAATAAGAATGATTTACTACTGGTAATGGATTGATTGGTGACTGTAGGGGGTATAAGTGTGTGATAGTGGAGGACTAGGGCTGATGACTCATAAAATGGCTGTTGCACTAGATGAGGCTTTGCACGAAGATTTAACAGCTGTCGTAAACATTGGGTTCAATTTCTTAATCCATTAGTAACAATAAGCGCACTGATATGCTAATCCAGCCCCCTTTTACTGACTGAGACAGTAGTACTTACAACTAATAAACAATTAAAAATTATTTAAATTTTGAATAATCAACAATTAACTTACATCAGTTGATTTCCTTCCTAAAAGTAGATAAGTAGCAAAAACGTCATCATACTTCGCTTGTGTTAAGCTATCTTCTATTTCACTTCTGGTGTAGCCCATTCCCACGAGAGCCTCTGCAAAGAAAAATTGATATAATTATTAAAAATTTCATCACTCAGTTCATAATACATCAACTACAATAAAATGTTTTGTTGTTTATTTTTTACTACATAAATGAACAATTAAGGGACAATGGAGAAACAACAAAATCTAAGTAAAGATGAAAAAATGATTGCAAGGTAAAATAATTTTTAAAGGGGGATTTCATTAAATTTGTAGAAATATAGAGACAGATTCTCCAACTGAAAGCTTACCTGTACCAACACCTTCACCAACGAGACAACCACGCATGGAAAAAGAAAACACCAATTCAATTTCAAAATCTTAAATAACATTTATAAATGTTTTATTAATTATTTTTTCACTAACGACAACATGCGCATAACAGGTAAGCTATCAGTGACAAAGTATGGAAGTTGTGTTCCATGTTACTCTATGTCATTTCAGCTTAGTGACAGATAGAGTACTATGGTACAATGCCATCTTTGCACAGTAGCATGCTCCACATTCATTAAAATATTTTATACAACTAAAATAATTCTATTTAAAAACAATCATGAATAATTTAAGGTATCATACAGGGAAAATTTTAACTGCAGGGAAACAAAGGCATAGTATAAAACTGTCAGGCAATTATACTTGAAAGGTATAGATACAATTTAACATAAGGGATTCAAGAAATAAACTAGAATCCTGCTACTTTCTTATTTTAAACTTGATATATTCTGCTTCAATACAATTAAAATACATTATCAGTCAAATTGTAAGAAAATCTATATTTCTTATAAAAACCAAATTACTAATTTCAGTTCCAATGGTAATTCATGCAGTTTTTACAATCAACACTCTTAAATAATTTCTTAAAACATCTTTAATTGCCTTGGGAGCTTTTAAGTTTTAATTTAATATGTTTCTATAAATTAATGAGTCGATCCTAGCAAATAATTTGTACAGTACATATATCAGTCAGTAAAAAGAAATAGTAATATAATATAAAAATAAGTCAACATACTATATTATATGGGGAAGAAATTAATTTGTTTTTATTAGTATTTACAAATGTTATTATTGAAAAAAATAGACCGAAACATATGAGTAAATAATAATAGTATAATTTCAATGATTTTTAAAACTTTTGTTGATAATTCAATTATTAGATTTGATGAAGTATTAGAGTAACTATGGCTTACAAAATAAGACCTTCGATAAATTATGTATAAATTTAAGAGCTCCGATACAACTCTGGTTCTCATAGAGAAACTCACTTTTAATTCGTTTAGTGACATAGTAAATAGTATGTTTAGTAAATAGTTAGAAAACTACAGTTAATTAGAAGGCTAATCAAATTCTATACAAAGCTCATTTTAAAATGTATTAATAAGAAATAATACATATAACCTCCTCCTCACTCCTTCATAGGAACTCACCAATAAGTGATATGTACCCCCTTAACAACACTACAATTAAGGTGAGCCTCTATGGCTGCAAATCCTTTACCATGCATTATTTAGAAAAAAGTAAATTGTTAGGGCTTTGAAACGCAATGTCCGGTACCTTTCGAAGGAACCTTATTGGGTAAAGATTCTGTATATAAATCATAAAAATCAAATTTATCCCAATTCAATACACCCACACGTCCACTGACCAAGTTTTAAAGTTTAGGGAAATATTCATGTTGACTTGAAAAACTAAGAGTATGATTCGCTAATCCCTTTGAAATTCTGAATCCGATACTTTATTCACGGCATTTGAACATGACAGGACCTTTTTATTTGGTACAAAATTGGTATTGAAACTTTATATAAAATATATATATATATATTTATATATGTATGTGTGTGTGGGATTTATATGCATAAATAATTTTTATTTATTGGCTCAAATGCTTCTTATGGCCATATAAAATTATCTGATCAAAATATGTCACAGGAAAATCATAGGCCTATTTCCAGAGTTTCAACAACTATTTTTTTTTTTAACTTTTACACCCCTGTGAGACTGCTATAACATGCGATGAAAAGTAGAAGTTAGTAGAAAATACTACTTTTTTCATCCTTTCATTTAAAGTTACTAAAAAGTTATGAAAAAAGTATTTCATATCTTCAAAACTGAAAGGTTTATACCAATTTAATTAATCTGCTTAGACACCTCATAGACTGAACTCTTAGAGACATAATATATCTTTAATTTATTTTTTATAAAATATATTATCTCTGTAAAAAAATATTGACAAACCTAGTGTAGCATTATTTCTGAAAAATGTAAAAAAATTGTTCCTAATATGATTTTTCCACAAATTTCATTGTCTGATTACTTGTGCAGTTTTTCTCTCTAAAAATTGTTCGGACGTAAAAAAAAAAAAAAAAAAAAAACAATCTGAAACTTTTGGAAGCTATAAAGATTGGAATGTGAGAAAATATTTCTATTGTTAAATTAATAAACATTTTGAATTCATATAATGAATTTTCCTTACATAATTTGGTCCTTGTATGGAACAAAATTGCATAATTTTGAGCTGTGATAGAAATTAAGCAATAAAGAATGTATATAAGACTGAGATTGCATGTCTTAAATAATAAAAGAAGATGCATATTTAATTAATTAATTCATTATTATTAAAATAATAGTGCATCTTGGAAGTATGGTGGAGGATGTGGCCTGAGTCTACTATATCAATAAATATACAGCTACCAACCAGTACATTCTTAAACCTGTCTTTCTTCTTCTTCTTCCGGCACTACAACTCAGTGGCGAGTCAAGGCCTCCCACAACATCAACCGCCAGTCTTTGTGGTTCATTTCCACTGCCCTACAGTTTTTTAATCCTAAGATGGACCGTGAATCCTCCGACACTCCATCGGCCCACCAAAGTTTCGACCTTTCAACCCTTTTCCTGCCTTGTATCTTTTCTTCCAAAAGTTTCTTTGGGACCTCATCATTCTTCATTTGAGCAACATGGTTTGCCCAGCGAAGCCTTCCGATCATTATGAATCTGACGATATTTGTATCATTATAAATTCTTTCTATTTTAGAACAAGTTCTTTGTTGTTGTTCTTTCCAAATGTTATCGCTGAACACTGGCTCAAGGATTCTTCTAAGGATTCGCCTCTCGAATCTTAGGAGCATGAGCTCGAGAGATCGTCAGAAGCATAAGTCGGAACAAGCCTTATGAGGCACTTATAAAGCTGCCACCTTGGTGATCCTCGATAGACATCTACTTTTGACATGTTTCAAGAGCCCGAAATAGCATTTGTTTGCAGCCATTAACTGTCTATTAATTTCTTGCTGCATATTATTGTCGGAGTTCACTTGAGAGCCCAAATAAATAAAGTAGAAATGTGTTTCTAATTGGGAAAAATATAACAGACTTTTTTTTTTTTTCATTTTTCAGAAGAAAAAAAATTGAACTTACAGGCTTGGATATACTTTAAATAGAAAGAAAAAAATCACAAAAATAATAATGACATTGACAGTACAAGATTTTAAAATGGCATAAATACTTCAGTTTTTGAGGAAATCAAAAGGCTTTTTTCATCGTGTTTCATAACTTTGTTGTGCTTAAAATAGGAGTAATAAAAAGTTGGTTTATCTTTGCTAATATTGTAGAAGTAGATCAACAAATTGTTCTTTGTTTTCTTTTTTAATTTTCATTAGATCATTGGCAGTGAGATATATTTCAGCCAATGTTTTAATATTGAAAAATACATTATCACTTATATTCAAAATATTAAGGACTAGATATATACTTTTTAGCTATATATTTTTAATGATTGTAATAGTACATATCATGAGTGATAAATATTTAGGACGCAGTCATTTTTTAAAATTTTTATTTTTGCCAACGTTTCAACCCAAACATGTGGGTAAAAAAAATTTAAAAAAAAGACTGATTCCTGACTATTAATCACCCATGATATGTAGAACAGTCGACTAACTTCCTTCAATAATACTACGTAGTTTTGAATCTCTCAATAATTTTAAATTAATCATTAACCCTTAATAAATATGAATGTCCGGATTCTACAGTATAAAATAGTTTTCAAAAGAAACAACTTTTTTTTGTTGTAATATTCTCATATTTTCTGATTCAATTCATTAAGTTTAAAATATATAAATAAGTACCTATGAAGTGATTCAAAGTTAAGAAAGCAATATCAAACGCTAAGGATTGTGTTAAATAGTGAATGGCTATGTGAATGAAAGTCTGATAAATGATGAGAGTTGTGTTGAGTTTCAATGATAAAAATGATGTTCTTTAAAAAGGAAATAAATACAAAATAATAATAATCAGATGGAATATTAATTTAGGGGTAAAATCACTGAGCAAACAATCAACAACAAACTTTTCACAAGTGCAATTAAAGGACAGATCATGCATAAATAAGAATAGATTCAGAAACACACCTATCCTTTTGAGGTCCTTATAATCAGGTTCGGGTTCCAGGTATGGTTTCAACTCCTCATCTTCATAGCCCATGTTCATCCACTTATCCTTCATTATTGCCTGTAATATTTAAAATCTATAGTGAATAATACTAAGAATGTTTATACGAAGCATAACTTGAATAGTAAGCTAATTGGTACATGAAACTGAAATATACTTCCTGAAATAATTGGCAACTTTAGTGGACACTGTGAGATTTTAAATGTGTTAAGTGATATCATTATATTTTGGTGGAGATCATTTAAATTTTTACTTCAAAAGCTTTAATATTTTTTATACTAAAAGACAACAAACTACTATAATAATAATTGCATAGGCAAAAAAAAAGAGAATGAATCCAGATGTAAAAGTACTGTTTATGGCTTGATCCATAACTTAATATATGAATTTCCGCAAAAGCAGTCAGGCAGTCAGTTTTATGTCCAACACCAATTCCCCTCATAAAATTTGTCCTATCAAAAATTTTATCTAGTTTTTATCTCAGTAAGTTTTTCTTAGTTGACCTCATCTTTCTTCATACAGTTTTCTAAAGTGCACCTCATTTGACAATTTTTCTTCAGACATTAATTCAAAATGTTTATACTACTGAAGGAACTTTTTTTTTCAATTTCTACTAGAATGTGTTTTATCTATTTTTGTATTGTTTCAATTTTAACTTTTCCCATTCTTTGCTGCTGGTTGCCAGTAGTCCATTCACTTGTTGTCGTTATCTTTATACCTTTCTCATGCTATTTTTATCAGTTCAGGATTAATATCAACTTTTTAGAGGGGTTGCCACAACACTTCGTGAGGAACATGGTCTCCTTTTCTAAGTCTATGTACGTCAATCTTCCTCCAAGCCTAGGAATATCACAATTCAATATTCTGGGGAAATACTTGGTGCTTTTCAACAGCGGCCAATTTAAACCCACACTAGTCATGAGAGACTGTAAACTCATATCCTAATTAATTTCTAATGATTTCATAACATAATTTACAACATAGATTCTTCTGTAATTGTTTAATATATATCTGATACCCTTTTAAAAAATATTGTGAGGTATAAGAGCTTCATTACTGGTATTAGATTGCAATGTAGTAATATATAAAATTGGGTCTAAATAACAAACTTTTATTTTTATTTTTCTTCTTGATTTGAAATAGGAAATTAATTCCACATGAATTCCAGCCAAGCATGGTATTTAACTATTTTTCCTGACATCGCGGGCGGATATACGGGAAGGGGGAGGGGTCTTTGAATCTGAGGCCCTTCCCCCACAAAATGGTAAAATATAACCATGTTTTATGGAAAAAAAATATTAACAAATTATCTCTTTGTGTAATTACATTTAAAAGGACTTTAGGAATCACTTAAACACCATTTCATATAGGTAGTTAGTTTCTTTCTTTTTTTCCAAAGTAATTATCGTTATTTTTATGAAAAAAAAAGCTTTCGGGCTGAAGCCCTACCCTCAAAAATAAAATCCTGGATCCGCTAGCCCCTGACATGAATTATTTTTTAATTTGTTTATAATTTACTGTCATTTCTGTCTCTTCATATTAATATCAATTATCTTCCATGAATGAATCACTGTCTTAGTTCATCAAATCATTCCTAGAAGTAGTTTCTTCATCTAGTTAAGTTTATGATATTGAGATATGATAAGTGTGACCTGAGACCTCATACTCTTTAGTGCAGCCTAAGCAGTTCCTGATATTTTATAGCCCAGTTGACCTTTTATACTAATGGAGAGTTTATTCCATTCTTCATTTTTAGCAACTGTTATGTTTTTAAATATTGATGCTTCAAATTTGTACAAGTGGTCAATGTGCTACTATTCTTAAACCAGGAGAAGTATGCTTTCTCCAACTAAACTCTAGGAGGTTATTGGTCACCCATTTGCTGCGTAAAATATCAACAGAATATCAAGCCCGAAATTTTGACAAAATTACAATTTTTGATTTTGATCCAACTAATTTTATAAAATATACTAGAACATAGATGGAATATAATTGAAAAGAAGTAATCGTTAACTGAACTGCCAACAGAAAAGTTAATTTTTATTATAATTTAAGGTTAATCATTATGCTTAAAATAATCATTCATTTTTTTAAGTATAATGATTAGCTGGAAATTAAATGGTATCACCACCAAAAATAATTACATACATATCTCTTTAAAAAAAAATTTAACAATGTAATACCTTTAAATTTACACATTCTCATTAATTATTAAAATATTAGCCACTTCCTAAAATTTTTTATAGTTTTCAATTACCTCTAATGATGCTCGTTTAGCTGGATTGAGAACAAGGAACTTCTTTAACAGATTTTCACAGTCTGTAGACATGTAGAATGGAATTCGGTACTTCCCTCGTAATACACGTTCTCGGAGTTCACGTAGTGTTGACCCGTCGAACGGGAGCGAGCCAGACACTAAAGTATAAAGGATGACACCCAATGACCAAACATCAACCTCTGGGCCATCATATTTCTTTCCTGCAATTGATTAGCATTATTTTATTAATAAGAAATAATAAAAAAATCAACATTTTGTATTATTTATTAGAAGAACAAACACTAGAAAAGAAAAAAGAGGAGGAGGTGAGCTAATTGTTTTTAGATATTCCTCATGTGAACTATAAGTCCAAGCAATTTAAAAAATAAAATAAAATCACAAAAACTGATTACCTTGGAAAAGTTCGGGAGCAGCATAAGGTGGGCTTCCGCAAAAGGTGTCCAATTTGTTTCCAGGAGTAAACTCATTACTAAAACCAAAGTCTGCTATCTTAATGTTCATCTCGCTATCTAAGAGAAGATTTTCAGCCTATCAAAGAACAAAAAACCACGATATAAAGCTTGTCAGTTAGATTGAGTCAGAAGTAACTTAACAAAAGAAATAAAATTACCTTTAAGTCTCTATGAATTATTTTCTTTTGGTGACAATATTGAACAGCTGATACAATCTAAAAAAGAAATATATAAATAACTGATATAATAAAGAAAAGAATATCAAAGCATGCTAATAACAGTTAGTGGAAAAATGATTTTCATGAAACAATAAAATTCGACCTATTACTACTATTTATGATCAATATATACATAAAAAAATGTTAATACTAAACACTTTGACTTTAATGATGGAAAAGGAACTCACTTGTCGAAATTTAGCCCTGGCTTCTTTCTCCTTCATTCTGCCGTGAAGTACAAGGTAATCAAATACTTCACCTCCACTAGCATACTCCATAACGAGGTAAAGTGTCTTTTCAGTCTCTATTACTTGAAATAGTTTTACTGCACAAATAAAATTTCAAATTAAATTAAAAACAAAACAAAAATAATAGAATAACTAATTGAAAAAAAAGAAGAAATATTTCTATCATTAAAAATACTAAGATAAATCCTTTATAGATCATCAAGGATGAAAAAGTAAACAAAAAAAAAAAAAAAAAATTAATAAAATTTGTAGCTTTAGGTACTTTTGAAAAAATTACATTGTAACTAAAATATAAAATATATTATGTTAAATCAGCTATATAAGTCTCCCTCAAATTAGACATTTTCACAGTTTTCTTCCAAGAGAAAGTGTTTCAAAAAGAGATTACACAAAAGCTATAAGGTACTACTAAGTACATGCATGCATATACATTTAGATCAGCGCAGCCAATAAAAATATTTAAATCTTCGGCTATTTCAAACATTTTTCCAGTCTCAATAGTTAATAAAAGCTACAATAATAATATTTTGCTTTAAGTGAACAAATTAGTTGCCTATGTATGCAAATGTATCATTAAAAATACATATTTAGGACTCCATAAACACCTTAGCATCAGTCAGTATATTCTGGATTCTCTTAAGTAATTTTTCTCTCCAAAGAGAGAATTTTTAAAAATAACCGTATCCTTATCTCTCTTTTTTTACTTACTACTAGCAGATTTAAATATAAATAAAATATATATATAAACGTAATTAATGGCGTTGATGACCTACAGGTTTTATGCCTTAACTTCAAAACTTACCAAGAACACAGTTGGCCTGAATGAGGCTTGTACTGTTACACCTTAGTACACACAGAAACTGAATAGGTCAAGATGTTTACACTAAAATATGAAATACCAAGGGAAAGACCCAAAAATAGATATTCCCGAGAGAAAATATAAGAAAAACAAATAATTTTAATACCTATTTAAAATATAGGCAAAGAAATAATTACTTTAATATAAATTATATTACCTTAATATAAAGGCTTTAGTTATTTATACAAGCAGGCATTATGAAAAATTGATAATACTTATGGCATCACCGATAAATTACAGAGAGTGATGCAATGCAGCTTCAATTTATGAAAAAAACTCACCTATATTCGGATGGTCTAACATCTTCATAATTCTAACTTCCCTAAAGAGCTAAAAAAAAACAAAAACAAAATATTACTAAAAAAAAAAAGATGATAAGCGCAAGCAATAACTGATATAATAAATCATTGATACCTTTTGTAAACTTCCTGGATTTAATTGTGTTTTATCTATTATCTTAATGGCCACCTGAAACAATAAATTGTTGATTATAGAAAATTTTAAAAAAATGTATTATTCTTGTAATTTTTTTAGATAGTCAAGAAGATGAAAAATAATTAATTAAATTTTCAACAATTGAGCAAGTTAAAAAATTGTTACAAACCTACTACTTTTTATGAAGTAAAAATAGTAATATAAAAATAGTATAGTTTACATAAAACTTATACTTTTTTCTTTTTTAATTAAAGTAGTCTATAGATCAAGGGTCTTTAAACATTTTGTCCCAAGGGCCAAATTGAGATCTCCTCTAAGTCCTATCGGTTAGATTGAGATCTCTAAGTATCGCAGAACATAGATTATGATGAAAGAAAAAAAAAATTGCTATATTATTGACACTTAAGTTGTGAAATGTAAATATTTAGGATCTGTAATGACAGTGGATGACATGAATTAGGGAGTGAACCAAAGAATAGTTGCCACAATCAGATGTTATTATGGCCTCCTAAAATAGCCATTTACTAGTACAAACAACTAAACTTCTCCTATACAAAGTCCTCATAAGACCGGTTCTGACGCATGGGTGTGAAATATAGACATTGACGAGGGCCAGTGAGCGAAAAGTGTTAGTTTTCGAAAGCATTAAAGAAAATCAAGAACAAGCCAATTTATACAAAGAGCCAGATGTGAAGAAATATGTCCGGATAGGAAAGGAAGGCAGAGATGGGCAGGCCACATTGTAAGGATGAACAAGGTAACTCTAAGGAAGCTGCTCAGCATGAAGCCGGATAGAAAAAGAAAAGTGGGTAGACCAAAGTTGAGATGGATAGATAAAGTAAGTGCTGGTGGCAATACACTTTGAATCAGGATCTGGTTGATGAGCACTTGGGACAGGGAAGTGTGGAGGTCAACCCTTGAAGCAGCCAAGAACCAGTAATGGATTGTTGCGCTCGGGATAATGAGTTGTGAAATGAGCTTCCTATGTAAAACAAATCATAAAATAGATGTAGAAAAAATCTCTTGTTTGAGTGATTCACTGAATTTCATATTTTCTAAATAATTCTGAAATTTTACCAAGTAATCTAAGATCCTTTTGCATGCAGTAGTTTGGAGATTCTCATTCTAGATATTAATGAAATTTATATCAAACAGAAACAAAAAAAAATTGATTACCTGCATACAGTGGAATAGTATTATTCCATTGAAGACTAGTAAATTAAGATAAGTAAAATAAAAATAAATATAAGTGAAATAAATAAAAATAAAAAATTATTATAAGTTTAGAGCACATTAAAAGAATGATTACCTCCTTTCCTGTAGGTACATGCTTCGCTAACTTTACTTTCGCAAAGTTTCCTTTTCCGATGGTCTTCAGGAGCTTGTACTTGCCGATGTGGGGTTCGTCCGAGGCCCGTCCGCCGCGGCTGGAGGCGGACCGCCGCTCCGGACCTGCCCCGGAGTTCTCGCTCCCCTGCAAAAAAAAAAATGATATTGATAACAACTGCAAACAAAAAGTAATAATTAAAGTTACAGAATAAGATAAATTTATAAATACAATTAGATGCCTTTTATATAAAATTATTAAATTTAATAAATTGTGTCGATTGTATTAGAACTTATAGGCACTACAGGAAACAGTTCTCTACATTATCAAGGAAACAATTTCCTTCAGCTTATGAGTAAGGATAACTACTTGCATTTTTAAGACCACTTTTGCGGACGGAAGACCATTATAGTTCCAACCCACTTCTCCTTGGAAAGAAGAGAATGAGCTGTATCATGAAATTGAGCAGAAGAGGAAGTTGAACAGAAGAGGAGAAGAAGAGGACAGTTCCAGACCTAAGAAACCATAAGTGTAGCCAAGACTAGGGTGTGACCAACCCACAGGTTGGTTGATCAACCCCTACAGCTGATAGAGGTTTATCAGTTGTAGGAGTTGATCAAGGCTTTGTCCCTTTCCTATTTATGATTAAATCCTCTCTGGAGGTATATATAGATATCCTGCAGCAATATGAATCCTATAAGGTTAAGAACGAAATGAGGATTTTCATCAGCAAAAGCTGCGAAAACCCTACTTGGATTTGCCACAAATTGAAGTGGGGATTTCCACGTAACTTCAGACTAAAACACACTAGGCATGCTGATCTTATTCAATCTAAGGCAGTATGGACTACTGTATTTGCTCAAATATAGGTTTTCTTTTTTTTCCTTAATTTTTCTCCAGTAAAATGCGGATTCAACCTACAGTCAACTTATAATCAGATCCAATCTACAAAAAAATTTAGGTTTCACCATACTCAAAACCCTTTGTCACTTTACAGTTTATTCAATTTTAAAAAATAAAATAAACCTTGTGCTTCATTTTTTAATTATTTTTATTCTTTTATTTTTATTATTTAATTATTTTTTTAAATTATTTATTTTATTTTTATTCTTTTTCATCAATAATACCTTGAAACACAGAACACTATGTTTAAAATAATTTAGTTCAAATAATCAAGTTTAAAATTGTACATAAATCACTGGACAACAAAATATTTGTGATGAATGAGAAGAAGAAATAAGAAGTTTATAATAAGTATAGGCTATTTATTAATAGGTTAAAAAATTATAATGTTTGAAAAGTGTGAAAAATAGACTAGCTTTGATTTTCAAGTTGGAGTGAAAATCGAAACTAGTTTACAATTTTATAGATACCCCTTATCTGGAAATAGCATTTTGATAATAGAGAATTAATTGTTTATCTTTTAACGTTTTTTCCCGTAATACTACAGTATACTGTTTGAATGGTTTCATAAATTAAATTGCAATTTAAATGAATCTTCATTTTAATTGTTTATTTTTTTTGTCCTGTAGGATTTCTAATAATTCTGAAAACTGAGCCAATCCACTTGGTTGATAAGTAAGAAGCCTCCTTCCCCTCCCCTCCCCCAAACGGTAAAATATAACCATGTTTTATGAAAAAAATTACCGCTAAAAGTATTATTGTTCGTCTAATTACTTAAACACCATTTCATATAGATACTTAGTTTCTTTCTTTCTTCCGAAGTAATTATCGTAATATATACAAAAAAAAAAAAAATCTTACAAGCTGGAGCCCCTCCTCCCTCCAAAATTAAATCCTGGATCCGATAGTGAATTGAATTGAACGACTCCTTATGTTCCACCACCGTCTAGAAGACATTTTGGATGTAGAAGTATGCTCCCTTGACTAAAATACATTTTAAGCATACCATAGGACACTAATTGCCTTGTTAGACAAAGTTAATACTCGTATTACCAACAAAATTACTTTTTAAACAATGTTCGCGATGGCAATACTTTCCCTTAAATTATATAACATATATAGGTAAGTGAAAGTAATATAATAAACCGAAAATCTATTCTTATAACAAATGTAAAATGTATTATTTATATATCGTTAGCTTATCATACATTACTATAACAAAATATGAATTATTCCAAACAACAATCTCTCTCCTAAAATTAACAATATTTCCACTGTTTCAAATTATAATATCTTTCAATCATTACTTGGGCTGCCAAAAAATCAGATTAAGAAATACTTTTAAACTAAAGCATTTCTTTAGTTATTGAAGTATCCTCCCTATCACATTTGGATCTTAAAAGAAGAATTTAAGGAGAACGTTGTAACAGGGTGTTGATGAAAACGACTATTACAGGCAGAAACAAATTATTAAATAATTAAAATAGTATTTAAATAATTCGGCTATTTTTTGTACCAACATTCCAAGGAAAAAAACTGAAGTTAAAGCCGACTTGTATTCCAATTGTCAACTTTTTAGTTAATGATAAAGGGTGACTTCAATATCAAATAATAAAAATGATGTGATAAGCACATGTTACCATGACATGAACTGTAATGTAAATGAACAAGAACTCCAAAAGCAAAATGGATAAATAAAAACTACTAACAGCACTGATCACGATTAAAAATAAAAAGATAAGAACCAAACAAATAAAAGTTCTCTCAAAAGAGAAAGAAGAATATACCGATCTAAAGGCATTTCAGTAGAGCGGAGCATTGATTTCAAATGAAGTAAAAGGAGATTGGCTCCAAGGAAGCCACGGCAAGGGAGACAAATTAAATGACAGCCAAGAGGGAGGGCCACTCCAAGGACACATTTTATCAGAACTTGAGCAAAAAAAAAAAAAACTTTTTACAATAATAATAGTGGATATTATTATTATTGTAATAATAATAATATAATAATAATAAGGCTTAGCGAACCCGAAGGTTCGATGCCGACACCACCAATCGCTTGTTACACACCTCCCTCCACCGTTCGCCATCCAAACCCAGTCCCTTCAGATCGGCTTTAATGCAATCTTCCCACCTTCGCTTCGGTCTACTTTACAAGCCCATTTGATTCGCCGCGATGAAATTACATCAATTATATTACCCGGATACAGCTCACGCAATTCGGCGTTGTGTAACCGTCTGAACTCTCCTATCTGAACTCATCCTTCTTCGGTCCGAATATTCTACGCAATACTTTATTTTCAAAAATCTTAAGACGCTGCTCATCCCTTAATGTAAGCGGCCAAGTTTCGCATCCATAAAGAACTGTAGGCAAGATAATTGTTTTATAGATTCTAATTTTTAAGTTCCGGGACAAGAGGCACGAACTAAGTAAGTTTGTCACAGAAAAATAACAAGCATTTCCCGCCTTCAGTCTAACCTTAATCTCTTCTTCAATTTCGTTTTTTCTAGTTATCGTTGAACCTAGATACCTAAACTTATCTACCTGCTCAAACAGCCCCTGTATTAATTACAGCCCCTGTAATTATTATTATTGTATGAAAAAAAAATCAAATGGTGTAAACAGAGATAAGCTGAGGGAATAAGAAAATGAAGTAATTAATCCATTGATTATTGCAGACAAATTTTTAAATTGAAAGTGATAAAAGAGCATTAAGAGGGTTTCCGCCAGACCAAACACCTCAAGGAAACACTTTTCTAAAAGTACGGGAATATTAATACACTGTGCGATAAGACAGAAACGGATCATAAAGGCATAGAGGAAATGAGAAAGATCCTGTCTAAAGACAAGTCGGCGAAGTGGCCTTTGGTAGGATTGCATCCTCTTAACTAAGACGGTTGCATGCATCCACCTCCTTGACTCATAGCAAGCACTAACAGGTGACTCACGAGGTGTGGCAACACCGATCCTAGTGTAACCAGCTCGCGGTGACCACTTGAGGAATCACCTCTTAGCAAATCGCAGGAAGTGCCTCGCCTACATCATATCATTTAATCGCTTACAATATGGTTTAAGAAAGGTTTTATCGTTAATATTTCAATTATTTTATTTGTTCTATGAAATAAAAAAAAAAAAAAAACATAATACCGACGCCAATGAATTATATTATAAGGGCTCGTAAATTCTTTTCCTTTCTTTAACTTAAAAAAAAAAAAAGAAGAAAAGAAAAAATACTTTCTAGAAGTATTTCATCCACAATCTAGTGGAATGAATTAAAACCAGTCTTGTTTTAATTAATAAACTAAAATTCAAGACTGAGAACGAAGATAACTTTACTAAAACCTATTTTACGCATCTATCTGGCCATATATTCACCAACTATAGATAATAGGACCGACACAAACTAAAAAAACGGATATAATAATCAGTGCTCAATGACGCAAGCTAAGGAGAAAGTGACAATCAAGAAAACGAGACGAGGGTTCTGTATTTGACCCCTTTTGGCACACTCCGATTCCCGCCCGTCTTACAACACCCCACCCCAACTTCAACATCGGGCTGGAAAAGCCTGGCGCTTTCCCAACCGCGGAACACGTGAGGAAATAGGGAGCTAATGTGAGATATCAGATACGATCTCGGCTCACTATTGCTGACCATTATCTTGCGACACCTTGTCCGCTCATGTTCTTTTAACACATTACAAGAGAATTGCTCCCTTAATTTCGTACATAACATGGAAGCAATCGAGAACCGAAAACAATCACATTAGAAAAGCAAAATAACTTTCTTTCTTTATTTCTTATATATATATATATATATAAACCATTCGCATTTCTGACATTCAAACAGTAGTAGCAATTTTGTTTGTGCCTCTCAGAGAGCTTTGAGTGGGCGCTGGTCATAAAATGACATCGTATTCGATTCCATTGGAGAAAGGTGTTTTCTCTTTTACTACAAGTTTATTCCTTTCCTGTTCTAGACCTCATGACCACACCTTGCCACTTGTCAGCCATGATGTTTCCGGTGATGAAGCAAAGGTTCTAATGTCAGAGTTCTCAAACGGAGATAAAATATCCTCGCAAACAATAATGAGCAAACCGGATTTAATGTATGCAATAGAATATACTCGACTAATATTTAACTCAGTAATTGATAATAATTCATCATAGTTCTTGCTATCACAGGCTTCAAAACTTACAAAATAATGTTTATTTGTGGTTATTTATATCATCGAAATTCTGCAAGA